ATTGAGTTGTAGCAGTTTCTACCACAACCTGCGAGAAAAGTATAGGGTTTGAAGCTAAGAACCTGCTTTCTGAGTTCATGTCTTGTGCCATCCCTCAGGGGACGAGTTAGGGGAGCCGAGACCCTCGGCTTGAGCCTTCTCAGGTCTACAATCGTCTGGAGGCCATGAAGGTGGCGAAGGCGGGACCAGCCGTGCGTCAAGCAGAAACCCACCAAAGCGGTCGTTCGATGGCCGGGCCACCATGACCCCTGGAAGCGGATGGACAGCTGTAAAATTCGAAGAAAGCGAATTAAATGGTGTATGTCCAGGTTGCAGTGTTCGTGCGGAGCCTTCCAAGATACTTCATGATACTTGTTGGTTCCAGGTCCTATTGCATGAAGGTGCTGCATAACACTTAGCCGATGGCATGGCTCTAGTGAATTTTGGGTGGAGGAATCCGAAATCCCTTCGACAAGGCTTTGCAAGACCTTTTCGCTTCAGCCTGACGAGAACTTCTTCGCGAACTGAAGACATCTCATCCCGCGTGGGCGGGTAGTGATTTTGCATCTTGGATTCTTTGAAATGGAAGTCTCATTCACCACGTGGATCTAGATTCCAAACCTAAAAGCCGAGTGATGCAGGAACAGGCGCTGGTTCGCGAAAAGGCGGCTGGGTATGTGAAGGCGTGGTGGGATAGTTCCGTGGCATGATGACCTCCTAGTATTCAAACCTGTAAGCAATTAGTCAGTGGAGTGCAGAAGTACTTTGAAGCTCCAAGTGTTGAAAGTCAAGCAACCGGACATCTTGAGTCCCCACTTGTGTCCATGCTCACCAGGTTGGGCTTTCCCCCAGCACAGCCGACACTAGTGACACTAGTGCACCAGGATGGCCGAGAAGTTCCTCAAGACCTGATGGCTCGCTACAAGAAGACCCTTTGGCCGCGTTGGTGGGCTGCCAATGATGGCCTCCAACCTACTAGCGATGGCCTCCAACCTAATGGGCTGTCAAAACCTCGCTGGTTCTATTTGGTTCTTAAACAACATGTTCTTCGCCCTGTCGGTGTCCACTCACTTTGCTCGATTATGACTCGTGATTCGTGATCAAGACAAAATGATGAGCGGGGTTTACTCATGCACATCCCCAGACATTTGATTCTGAGTTTTTCTTCGGTGCACTGATGGGGTCAGAAGGGCTTGGAGTGGTGATTATTCCAGTTTGGAGATTTGTTGGTGATAGAGCCTTATCTAGAAGTTTGTCTTTGACATTTCCCTTGTGGGAACGTGGCTCAGGAACATTCAAGTGAAGCTAGGCGTGGGTCCCGGGATGCACGTGAGCGGGGAATGAGGGGAGACGAATGGAATTGCTCGATCTCTATCATACGAAACTTGCTTTTGCTGGTTTGGATCATTGTCAAATAGCCTTGTCGTCGCCTATGTCTTAACAAGATCACTGGGTCTACCCTTCACTCTAAGTTCATCCAATTGCTTCATCAGTCATTTGGATTTTCGCCTCATCACCCCCCAAAAAAACAGCTCTACGTGGTACATAAGATACTCTAAACTCTCCAAACGACACGGCGTCGGCGTCAACGGCGGCGGACCTCGGGCACCGAGGTCTTTCTCGCCCCAAGGGTGTCCGACCCAGCAAGACGGAGGAGCTACCTCCGTCCGGGAGGCCGAGAGACGGAGCTGAGACGCCCAAAGAGTGATGGCCATCAAGTTAAGGCATTAGAAGCCACCATGTCAGAAAAACGTCCAAGTTCAGAGCACAGCAACTGTGTTCAGTTGGATCTCTTCCAAGCCACCCTCTCTTGAGGTCACCCGAGCCACCGGCCACGCAGCCACCATCGCCACAGCCGCCCTCGCCACAGCCGCCGTCGCCCCAACGGCCAGCGCCGGCGGCCGTGCCAGCGCCCCCGCAGCCGCACACGCCGGCGCGGGTGCCAGCAGCATCGCCCGCGCCAGTGGGGCGAATGCATAGTGGGCAGGCCGGTGACTGGGAGATGAGAGGATGATGGGGGAAAGAAGAAGATGCAGAGCATTATAGAAGCTATAGAAACGAATCTCGTTAAAGCCATCCTTTTGCCATGGGCCGATGGGATTTGATTGGGACGCATGTGGCGATGAACGTTTCGTCCTGGTCAGGCCCAACAATTAGTGGCTTATGGATGCCCATCACCAAAGCCTTCCACCAGGCGACATGAAGCCTTCCGAAACACAGCGGACAGGACAGGAGTTCGCTGGAGGGGGCCCCAACAGAGACGTAGTGAAGTGAATGAAGAAATGTTAAGAAATATGTTAAATATGCAGAATTTCTTCCTGGAGAACTCTTCTGTTGTTTGTCATGGATATGAGAGAAGATGCAGCCTCCCACCAACTCTGATGTGGTAGCGAGTGAATCTGGAGACTGGAGATCTTAACTCTTTTAGCTTCGACTTTTAGGTTGTGACCTTGTTGTTCCTATGAAAGGTTGTGATCAAATTGTTTCTATGAAGCAATGTTTATATGTTAGTTAGGCCGTCTGTGTTTTTGTTCCCGGATCACTCAGATGGACGCGGTGACTGTTGAGCATACGAAAGCATAAGTGATGGGGCCTTCCGGGTACCAGGCTGGTGGCACTTGGAAGACAGCACTGAGTAGTGCAGCACTGGCGGTCGCAGATGGTTCCAGATGGCTGGTGTGGTCAACTTCGGATGCAGTTGAAAGCGCCCGCTTTCCCCACCAAGGCCTGTGTCAGATGGAGCAGCTGGAGGCGCACGGCTGCTGGATGTAAACTGTGGTTAAAAATGGTGGGACAGACTAGCCCAATGGACAGGTACCCGTTTCAGGTGCGCGGGCTCTCTTAAGATCCAAGTTGTTGCATTGGGTACATATGTATCCACAAGAATCAGCATAGTCGCAAAATCTGCAGGTTTGATTGCTATCAATTTGTCATATTTTTTCCACACAATGTTGCATGTTGGCATGTTGTTGTCTTTTGTTGAGACATGCGCCCTCCCATTTTTACCCTACATTATATAGAGATGACCATAGATGACCTCTGTGTTGCCGCGCTACTAATTGTGAGGCGGTACGCCTGGCTTGCCAGTGCCTCCTCCACTACCGTTGAGGCGTCCAAAGATCGGCGACCGGAGCTGTGTAAGCTGAAAACGCTGAAACAACAGCTCTCGCAGCTCGCAGTATTATGATCATTCTGATTCAATAGCATGAACATGATTCTTGATGATTCTTGTCTTGGTTTTCCAATGTGCACCATGTTCTTTCAACAGGGATTCATTGAAACTCCAGATCTGTTCAATCCCTAAGATCTCTCTGGAGAATCATGGTACCTAATACATGCCTGTGGCTGTCGTCTACTGGCTGTATATTGTAAAAGGATGTAAAAACATATGTATTATATATATAATGTCGAGTCTATACTTGTGATATCTTTGATCATGCACTTGCCAGGCAATGGGCCGCGCCCAACCCGGTCCTTCTAGGTGCAGGAGCGGCCGTCTCGTCGTCATAGCAATGCTGAAAGCTTCAGGTGAGGCCGAACGAAGCGCTTCGTCGGTGAATGGTTTAAAGCCCACCATGCGTGGGGAGCTAAATCCAGCAGGTCCCCATCCGTAGGTCCAACGGTCCCAAGCCGCGCACGGTTGCCGACCCGCCAGGAACACCCACCTCCATTGCTTCGCAGAGGGGAACACCCAGTTCGCCTCAGCTGGATGGGCGAGGAGAGGAGAAGGCTTCAGCAAGCATTTCACGAGGAGACCAACGAAAACATGGACGAATTTTTCCAAGACTATTTTTCCTTAGACTAGCCTGATGGAGGGTACATGCACAACCAGGATATCAAGATGTGAAGTTGTCACCTCTCCTATTATTGCCCTCATATAGTTTGACGCACCCTCAATCACCCTCACCTCAGAGTTCAACCATATCTTGACCCTGGCATGATTTGGGGAGCTTTGGATGGTTTTGTCAAGATATCTGACATGAACGTGCAGTGATTTCAAAGCAATGACACAAACCTCAATGGTGCGTTGGGGGATCGAGGGGTATTTGTGCAATCCCCCCCACACTGAAATCGCTTCATTCCTCGCTTCACTTCAGATGTTTCTTCAAACAGTAAGACTGTGGAGAAAGTTAGTATATAGCATAGTGATAGTGACCGAATAAAGGCAGCCTCGCTTTGTTATCTTTGTTATAGATAGACTTGAGGCGCTCTGGAAGAAAGATGTTGCGGTTGCATCGTTTTGAGCCACCATGGCCATTGTTGCCATGAGTGGACAGGTTTTCCCGGCATCCCCGGTCTACTCCAAAGTACAGGGCACCAAGCTCACCTGGCCTCGATCCGATGCCTTTCGCTTCAGCGTAGAAGTCCCCGCATCGACGGGAAGACAGGGCGCCCGGGCTGGTCCGATGCTGGGAATCCAGAGTGACAAAGAAGGTGTCGCTTCATGTCGCTTCCACCCAAAGGCCATATGACCCGTTACAGCCGAAGTTTGAAGCCAAGCTGCAAGAGATCTCAACGAATATCATTGTGGTGGTGAAGGTGGTGAAAACATGACAACACTCGCCTCTAGAAAGATGTTTTGTGGAGACCACGTGAACATGAAGCAAACGATCAAGCAGCCCGACGCACGTCCGTGTGACCGACGAGCGGCTTCGCTCGTTCCATCTGAGCGAGTTCCCGAAGGGAACTTCGCTGCTTAGCTTCCAGAGCCACAGAGGACTACAGCCAGGTACATCAGCAGCTGGAGTTCGACGGGTGAGTGTATCAGAAAGGGATTCAACAATTTGTCCATCCCTTATTGAGCAAGGAACCCTCACCAGATCAAGGAACTCCACCGTGTAAAGGATGGCTTCGGATGCAGGCGTCAAGCGATCCATTCTTCGGTTCATGTGGGCTCAGATGTGGTTCATTTGGGGGCACATCCTGGTCTAGCCTAACCGTCGTTCGCATGCCGTCTAGCAAGCCCTCTGGTTCGCCTTTCTATCAAGCCGTCTAGCAGGAGATTTTGGCTCACTGACCAGCTTCCTTGGTTCATGTCAGCTGTGGCTCTGGATCCTTCAGGGTTGATGGACATGGTGCCATGTTAGCATTGCTGCCTGGCTCTCACCTGGTGGGGCCTGTGCGTGTGGCCTCTTTGTGCGGGACTTGCAATCCGCATGACGTGTTGGGTTTGTTGGGGTCCCTTGATTCCCATCTTCTAGAGAGGTCCTCCATGGCCAGTGGCCTGTCAAACATCGAAGGTACCCTGGTCTTTTTTGCATTGAATGGAAGTCGTCCACAATCGGTCCATGTTCACCACGTTCTCAGAGTTTTGACCCACACTCTGTCACACGAACATGCCAGAAAACGATCCCTCCACGCCAGCAAGCAGTAGTCCCTATATGACTATATGTTATACTATGTTGTGTTCGCTTTCCAGCCATCAGGTCAGTGGTCAAACTTTGGTATTCATAGCCTTAGTGATCGGTTCTCCAGTGTATAGAACTTGAGTATACAATACCAGTACAACACACATGAGACCGTCCTCTCTTTCTCCGAGGCTTTGGATTTTCGTTGCCTTGAGTGAGGCGGCAGGGGGGAGTGGGTGCTGTCAGAAGTTGTGCAGTAGTCACTAGTCTCAACATCCCAGCTTGCCATTGATGGGCTGGAGGATTCCAGGGTGCCAGCATCGACATAGCGTGGGAGAATTCATGAATGTTCCAGATGTTCCATATCGGCTCTTGCACTGTCCCAGGGGCGTGTTTTGCACTTCCCCATGTTTCAGGGGGAGTGCCCTTGTTATTCATCCTTCTCCGAATCATGGCCCAACATGGCCAGGCAACACAACGATCACCCGCTATCGTGCATTTGGATGAAGGCGCTCCGCACTGAAGCAGCTGTGATGGTGCGGGGACACTTGTTACGGTGACCCCCAGATTCTGGTATCACCCATGAGGATGGTGGCAACGGAAAGGTGGCTACAGGTCCAAACGTTGGATCCGTCCTTTTCTTATCAAACCTGAGAGGTCCAGCACGACAAGCTGCTTGGTCTAGAAACAACGATTTTGAGAACTTCATCCCTAGCCCTAAAGCAGGTGCTGAAAGCTTTTTGCATGCATTAACTGATGTTAACAGGCGATCGTGCTGTTGATTCGCCGCAAGTTAAAGGCTCCACTCTCGCCGTTCGGCACTGTTGGATGCCTACTTTAGATGGGGGTACAACTCAAGAATGCCTCTCATTCCACAGCCCAAAAGCATGCCAAAGCTGATCCTGATCCTTCCCCCCACCTGGGAGGTCATGCCTGGGCGAGCGGCTTTCATGAAGGACGGCTGTTGTCAAGGACGGCTGAACCGAACGCACGGATCGATCCAGCGCTGCGAGCCGCAGTGTGTGTCTTGGGGGAAGCAGGTGGTTGCCTCATATCGCATCCTAAGATTAGGTCTTTTTCTTGGGCTGTGTGCGTCGAAGATCAGCCGTCGACGACGAAGCAGCGGCATGTCATAGATCACAAGATGTGTCTCCTTTTGTGTTCATGATTGGTGATTTTTTGCAGCATGTACATTCAATTCATCAAACACCAAGACTCCAACCATTTGGTTGGAATCGTTTGAAAAGTGGTTCTTGGCGGTTCCTCAAATGTTTGGTGTTTCTTTCTTTCGTTCTTTCTTTAGACCTTTACTTCCTTGATGGTTTTTCCCTTTTCCTTTTTGTGTCTTTGTGATATTTCTCAACAAGACCAGCGTGGGACCTTTCTGCAGCTCATCCCTGTCGGACTTGCAGGAGTTGCCATCAGCGAGTCTTGCTGAAACCCCGTCTCCGGGATGAGCAAAGTGCAGAACACTCTAGGCGATTGGCACGAAGGCTGGGAGAGACAACTTGGAGAGATGAGGGTGAGAGACCTTCAGTTGATATACTGTACTTTTTCCAAAGCCTTGAAATGATGTACTTGAGTACTCGGAAGGTCAGTTGCTGAGCTCACGTGGAAACTCCGTAATGATCTAGGTACTAAAATCACTGAGGGTGGGTGAAAACACGAATCTGTACATCGCTGGAGGCTTTTCGAGGACATCGAAGGCCTAGAAAGAAACAGCTGGCACCATTTGAAGCTCGGCTTCCTGAAACAGGGGCGCACGCTTGGAACATATTGGAGTGCTTTGGAGTCCACCAGTGGAACCCGTTGACTGCCGTGCTTCCGTCTTAACGGTGCTAAATTTCACGAATGAATTTAAATGTCGTGGATTCAGCCGGAAACTGCCAAAACATTGAGAAAACAAGGGTGGAAAAAACACACAGGACATGTGCAGCATCTTTGCCCACACAAAGGAAATACCAAGTAGCTGGACCTACAGAAAGGTCCTAATAGATGGGATATGAGGACGATATTACATTATATTACCATATAAGTAATACCATAACGCCTTTCTTCCTGGTCCAACGCCATGTTGGATACCCCCCAAATCATGCAGCTGTAAAAGCTCTGGTTAAACCGCCAATCCATTCGCCATCACCTTTTTTCCTCGCTCACGGACTGGTCCGTGCTCCGAGTGTGGTCACAGGAGACCCCTGTTTCATCCCGTGGCCAACAAAAATGTGGCTCTCACTTGCGGCGACCTTGACCTTTCCTGTCCTTCTTTGGATCCTGCCAATGACCAATGTTGATGTTGCAAAAAGAATGGGTTTGGTCGCCGAAGACTGCCGAGCGAGTGGTGGACATTTGGTCGACTAGGCTACTTGAGAGAGTGAGAGTGGTGAACATTCCCAGGAAGTTTGTCGGTGACTATTAAGGACGTCTGAAACTGAGCCCAGCCTCTTCCATCGCTTCATTTTTTCTTTTTCTGGTGGCCTTGTCCTTGTCCGCCTTCTCCTCGGTCTTTTGTCTTTTATTTGTCTCATGACCATCTTGGCCACCCTTTGCCCGGCTCTTGGCCTTCGCCTTCACCTTTGCAGTTGGGGCCACTTCTGGCTTTGCGACCTGTGGACCAAGCTTCAAACAATTCAATTAAAAACTAGTACCAGAGTCTCCTGAGTCCCTGTCCTTCAACCACCCCCCTCGAAACACGAAGCAAACGGTCCGATCGCATCGTTGCTTCCATCCCTCAACATCCGGCGGTTTTCACTTGTCACCCGACAAACTCACCTATACCCCACCCCAGAGTTGGTACAACTCCGTGACTTGGCTCCGTTTTTAGGTGGTACAAGCATGTACAAGCAGAAGCACAGAAGCAAAGGGGGTCAGGTATGTCCGGGATGATGATCATTGTGAATCGTCAACAAACCTGGTTACTTGTCTGACTTGTCTGGCCTCCTCCTTGGCCTCAACCGCTTTGGCGACTTCGGTGTCTTCTTTTGACACAGCCTGTGTGGCCGCGCCGTCGTCGTTGTCTGAGTCTGACGGAGTCTATGTCTCAACGAGTTTCAAGTTTCAACAATCAATCATAGTTATAGCCTAGTACCAATGTTGGCCCTGCGAACCATTACAATGATTCAAAGGGGAAGCTTGAGTTTGAACATTGACATTGACTCCCTTGACTCTCGGCTAGCTAACTCAAAGAACCCAGGTCAATTGAATATTGTGATGTTCTTTAGTTGGGAGTTGGGATGGTTTCTCTAGTTGGGATGGCTTCCGGAGTCCTAAGTTCCTAAGCCCATCAAAATTTTAGGGGTCGGCTGTCGGCTAGTTTAGGCTTTACGGGTTTTAGGTTTAAAGTAGTTATATATATATATAGTAGTAGTGAGAAATCTTTATCCAATTACATCCTCTACAGGGATTTTGTAGGCGTGACTAGAACGTCCAAAAGCCCTACACCAAAGCAATCTGGTTTGGGGCCAGGTTACAGGTTTAGAAGTTTAGAATAACTTAGTCACGCAAATCCTTGTCAATCACATGCCACTGACTCACGCGGGAGGGTTTCCCTAGACTAAAACGTCCTAAGCCTAAACCCTAACCCTAAGCCCGATAGAATATGGTCAATTATAACTTCTGCTTGGCGCTTGGGTCCATATGTCCCAAGTTCACTTGTCCATGTGTCCGCGGACAGGCAGATAGTAAGCACAAGGGGCTTAGGATCATAATTTAGTCTCTAGGCCCGGGCTACGAATCGCAGGACGCTTGTTAGCGATCGACCCTGTATGAGCCATGCTGCCAACCTCATGGTGTCCTCCTAATCCTCCTATACCTCCTAATCCTCATCCTCATCCGGATTGCGAAAGCGTGTCAAAGTCAAGTGAATCCGGTCAGCGGATGATATTCCAGATCGTCGGCGCCCAAGGTCCCAAAACGCTCTTTGCCGAGCACGGTCAGTCATCACCATTGTCCAGAATGGTGGTGGTGGTAGTATTGGTATTAGTATTAGTATTGGTAGTAGTTACTTAGTAGTAGTAGTAGTAGTAGTAGTAGTAGTTGTAGTTGTTGTTGTTGCCGGCCGAGTTGCGGGAGCAGCGGTAGTAGTAGTAGTGGTGGTGGTGGCGGTGGTGGTGGACTAAACTGTCCGAAACCCTAAAGTACTAAAGCATAGGTTTAGGGCCAGTTAGTTACAGGATAACTAAGTCTACAACACTCTTACATTCAACTCGGGACTCACAAGGGTTGCCTTGAAAGGTCCTAAACCCCAAGCTCCGATCATAGGTTCAGCAGCAGCCCTTGGGGACATTGACAATATTTGACGGATGCAACCATTACAAACATATGATGATTGCCTCCTTGGCATCAGCGGCCGGAACTTAGTAACTTATTCAGACTTGCCGGTACCGGTGCCCTGCCAAGACTTGGACTCACGACTCATGCTTCTGAGGTGGCATTAACAAAGTACATCAGGTAAGCCCAACTGCATAGGAGCTCTTTTCTGCCCATCGACTAACAACAAACCAACATTGAACATTTGATTATATTTGATGGATGATGGATGCCTCAAATGGCTTCAAAACATGTATCTTGAGTCTTGAGTTGCGATGGCATCTACAGCATTAGAGCCGTTGTTGCCCTGCCAAGACTTGGATTCAAGTCTCTGAGACAGCTTTAACAAAAACTACATCAGGGCATCAGCATCAACATCAACACACACACAGAGTTATTCCTGGTCACCTGTCACCTGGTAACCTCATTAGTGTCTACATACAGCATGGATGGATGGCCTCAGCATTCACCTCAGCAGTCTCAGCTGCCTTCTTTGGCTCCTCAGCCTCATCCG